GGTAATAACCAGGGGGTTGCAGGTAACACCAGAGGGATTTCTTTATAATAAGGCAAGTTAATAAAGCAGAGTGAGAAGCTGCTGAACAAGACCGCATTCCCTGTTGAGACAAAGGTTAAACTGATTGAGTTGAGCCAGAAAATAGTTTTTATAATGTTAACAGCCCAATGGTAGAGATGTAAATATATAGAGAGGCCACAATAAAACCTAGTTTTTTTTTACTCTGAGGATTTTGCCTGTCTACAGAAAATGACCAGTAATTAAAACAATAGTTAAAAAAACATTTTGATAAAAGTACAGGCAGACATTTAACAGAAAATACATTTTGTGAGCATTCATCTTTAAAATATTTACTCTCCAAAATCAGGGAAAGATAACACACAGATATCTAAACCGCAAAGGATTCCATTTGAAATTATAACTTAAAAAAAGATAAAATCTATGAAAGAAAACAGTAATGGCAGGGCAGGCTTTTACCGCATTGGCATCATGCAGCAATAAGTCATTTTCATTGTCATACTCACATTTCATCCCTTTTGTAATCAAGCTCTTAAAGTCTGTGTAGCGTTCCCTGGGAGTTTATAAATGTGCGCATATAGACCGTTTGTATGTTGTGAATAAGGTTTTTGATTTGTATTATGTACTGCATTCTGCTCTTAATTAATTTCCCCTAGTGGGAGAAAAAAAGTGGATTTAATTGAATTGTCATATGATAATAATATGCATTCTGTATGATAATGGTGTATTATGAAAATTATTATTATGAATTTGTGATAACGATAGCTAACACTGGTAACGCTGAGGGTAGATGGCAAATAGACAGTGGCTCAATCGCAGAGCAAACAAGAAAAAGAGATTATTTGGGATAATTCTGTTTCATGGAGATGGAAGGAGAAGAAGTATGCATGCTTTAAAATCTGTACCAAATCTAAACTAGTAAAAATGAATTTAAACCTTTCTTAGGGTCAACTGAAATGACTAGTTAAGGCATAACTATAATTTCTTTGGAGTGGATAAAACTAACCAAAGTGAGAGTATTACGATAGAGATGACGCCCCTTTAAATATCTAGTCTGCTCTAGTTCATCATATCAGCTGCATCTGATGAGAGTTCAGACTCATACAGTGACTTATAAAAAAAGATGAAAAGACAGATTCTAGAACATACAGGTCCTCAGAGGTTTGTTGGAAAATGGTAATTAAAAAAACAGCAGGTCAGGAATTGAGTTATGGAAACTTGGAACCTTGAACACATTAAAAGATTGGCTGTTCAATCAATTATTTAATGGAGGAGTGTGTCATGATAGCAAACCTACCTACCAACCACCTTAAAATTAATAAGAGAAGTAGCCCAGAGGCCCATAGTAAGGAGCTGCAAGATCCACTGTTCAATAGTAGATTCCATTGACAGGACAGTTATTAGTTTTTTACTGCAGAAACCCACCCCTTTTTGGGAAATAGGTATTACTAAAAGAAAAACTTTTTTTGTAGAACACAAACGCTGTGGAGGAGAAAGCAGTCTTGAAGAAGTTACTTATTTTTCCTGCCATTTTTGCTCTAGTCATTTCAGTCTGTGTGTTTATTTTTTATTCCTAATTTATTGTTTTATATCCCGTTTTATTTCGTTTTGTATTGATTTAATATTTTTTTTTAACTGTACAGAACTTTTGTAAAAAAAAAAAAAAATGTTTTCTAAATGTGCTTCTGATTAGAACCAATTTAGATTTGAGTTCACAAAGTACAACCTGTGAATTGTATTTGCCTTTTAGGTGTGCACCTATATAAGATTCAAGTTATACATTGAGGCGTGGGCTTAAAACATGACAATTTGCAAAATTATTAAAGTGGCATCAATAGATCCGCTAATATTTGTAACTATAACCTTACTAGTTCCTCATTATTAAAGAGGGAAGATGGAGAGATTATTTATATCTCCAGCTTGATATGTCTGAATTAAACTTCTCCAATCTGAGCAGTTTAGTTCTACTGTAGTGTCTTAGTATCGCCAGTAGATGGAGACATAGCTGCATGTGTAACCTAGGAACCACTTGAAGAAGGGCAGCATCTTTTCAGATAGAATAAGAGGTCATTTTTAAATTCTTTGCATTGCAAACATGTAACATGTTTTTTGGTAGCAAGGCTTTATATTATAGCTGTGAAATAAGGTTTTAGGGTTAAAACATGCTAAGCAGTGTCTTCTGTCCTTTTGTCTCCTTCTTGCTTTGGGTTAGTGTCCTGCACATTTGTCTTGTGACTGTTGTCTTTGTCCCCATCTGGACAGAGCCCGACTGTGAGACTGAACTCATGAATCATTCCTTATCAGGGTGCCTTACTGTAGGGAGATGCAGTGCCTAAAACCCAGATTTGGCTGAGTGCTTTTGAATCACCTCTGTTTACATCATGGCCATATAAGACTGTGTGTGGGTGTGCGTGTGTGGCCCAGGTCGATTATGTGATGTAGCTGCTTTAAAAGTCAGATCTGCCGATACACACTGTGTGTGCACCAACTTCCCAGCCATGGCTCATTGGCGAGCGAGGCAATTAAGTTCACCCATGCAAGTCAGCTCAATTATGCAACTGTGATGAGCCCTGGAAAATAACAAAGCATGGCGTATGTGTGGCCGAAACCTTGGACTCTTTGCTGTCTGACTATCAAAATCTATAAGTTAGATATTGTTGATAAAAGACGTTTTGAAATTTTTGGTAAAAATTAGCACCAACTTTTAATTACGAATTTTCTTAGTTCTTTTTAAAATATATTTTAGATATATCATTTGTAGGCTAAAGCTCAACACAAATGTCCCTATTCTGAGGTATCTGCATAAAGGAGGGCAGGCATAAACAATTAACATTGAGCCAGCAGAGGATTAACAGCATGTAAAACTATTGGAGAGGAAAGCAGCCAGGCTGTAATGGGAAAATAAATGGGGCATTCTGCATTTGCTGTCTCTTTTTGCGCTGCACTGTTTGCGTGCACAAACACACAAGCACAATCGCTCCTACGAGGAGCTCTTTACTGAAAGGGATGCTGACTGAGCTCGAGGAGAGAAAAACAAAGGGTTCTTCCTGGGAAAATGGACGCTCCTGGCACCGGATCACAGCTGGCAGAGATGAAGCGCGGTGTGTTTCTGTGTGAGCAATACGCTAATAAGCAGCAGAAATAGATTTGTGTGCTAGCCTAGCTAACTCATGGAGGGTTTTTTAATTAACAACAGGGCTCAATGCATGAAAGCAGAACTTTAGGTGCTTGTCAAATGTTTTGAAGTTTGGTGATGGGTTGTTTTTTGTTGTTCTTAAAGTTTAACGAACGTTACGTTTCTTCATTAAAGTAACAGTTGCTAAGAAAAAACATCCATCCATCCATCCATCCATCCATCCTTCCATCCATCCATCCATCCATCCATCCATCCATCCATCCATCCATCCATCCATCCATCCATCCATCCATCCATCCATCCATCCATCCATCCATCCATCCATCCATCCATCCATCCAACTGATGCTTCAATTCTTGCCACATAGTTTTTTATTTTATTTTGTTATTTTTTTTAACCACAGTAAGGTATGGTATGTACCAGTGGTAATGGTTTGTACCTTACTGCTTTGATATTCCAAACAGGTACTGAAAATTTTTTTTTACACTTATGTGAGCAAAGCAACACACTTGAGGGGGCTTGAGGATGGTATTTTAATCTTGATCCTAAATGAGCAGTGCAGGATTTTAAGAAAACATAGATTGCAGTATGATGGTCAAATATCATTTTAAGGGTATTGCTCAGAGAGCCAGAGTGACAGTGTGTGGGATCGAACTGGCAACCTCAGGATTCAGAGCCCTATGCCCTCACCACTTGGCCACCACTCCCCTAAATCCTAAACCTGAAACAGGGGTCTTAAACCATGGTCTTTAGGACCCACTGTCTGGTATATTTAGTCTGGTATATTCTAGTTTTCCATAATGGAGCAGATAGACATCTAAAACATGTGAGACAGAGAGTTTGATGACAAGGGTTGAAGACCTCTGTCGTAATCCATATATCACACTATTAAAAACAGATCAAGGCCACATGTGTGGGATTACACTACATGTGTGGGATTACAGACTCAAAGGAGCACAGATTAAAATGATGATGATCTTAAAGAGATGAAAGATTAAAACCTTGGAAACAATGGATCCAATTAAATGCTGGTCTGTTTCTTTCCATTGTTTCCTTTTGTAAAATGACACTCCTGGTCCTACTGTGAATATTTTAGATTACTGCTACAGGCTGTCCATCAGAGTGTATCTCTCTAGTTTCTTATTTAATCTTTTTCTTAAGTTAGTGCTGCACATGTCTCACTGGTGTTAATGGTGAATAGACTGTAAGACTCCCTGTGTTCTATGAGGAGAGTGGGTGGTGGATCAAGGACGCGGCAGCTGTTGTGCGATTACATTATGCACGTCTAATTGCATCACACTTGGCATTTGCCAGATCTTTGAGTGATTTATGCTTTCCATTTAGAGCAGGACAAAATATGAGCCCTTGATTTAAAGACATAATTTAGTTGTTTGTCTCAAAGCTGAGACAACAGCAACTAGCAAACAGCGGTACCTCAAACCCAGTTGTCAGCTTGAGCTCTGCTTGTTTGATAATATATTCATTGCAGAAGGCTGCAGATCTAAATATCTCATGCTGTGCCAGAAAGACACTTCCCTGCACGTTTGATTCAGGGGGAGCTTTAAAGAAATACCATGAATCCCAAACAATGTTTTAAATTGTGAGCCATCAACTCATCTGTAAAAAGAGTTACTAAAGCAAGACACATTTTCTTGACCATTTTCAAAGTGAAACCATTGAAAAAGGGATATTTTAACTTTGTATTACCCGAAAGGCACATCTCTGCATGAGTGAGACAATATTAATTTCCCTCACTAATTCATCATCCGTCACCTCATTTCTCATGTGTTGACATGCTCTTTGAACCGGCCACTGACAGCGGCGTTCTTGTCGTGCTTCTCTTTAGGTCGATACCTGCGCCTGAAAATGTTCCGTGAGGATCATGGCTCCTGGATGACCATGTTCTTCAGCACCATCCTCTTCCTCTTCATCTTCTCACACATCTACAATCTCTTCCTGCTGATTGCTGGAGGGATGGAGTAAGACATTTAACTCTTCACACCTTTGCTCCATGTCCTTCTTTAGTTTGCTTCTTCTCATTTGTTAGAATAGGTACACTTCTTTTTCAGCAGTTGTTTATTGGATTTTAACGTCTTGTTGAAGAGAGACATTCAGCCTGGACTTTTAAAACACACTAAATCATAAGTAAAAAAGGGGCACAGTTATCCTGAAGAATCACCTTTAGAGCCAGCATTTATTTTCAGATGATCAAGTTTAATTCTTTTGACACCTGTCTGGCTGAAACAATATGTTGGGGAATTCTTTCACCTGCTGGCCCAGCTTCTTACCTGCTGGGAAACTGCCATGTGCACAGCGAAGCCTGACATCCGCACATCAGGTGCATGACAGGAATCCGTTTATGCATTTGCAGCGTGTCCATCCAAAGGAAAGAAAACATGCCCTTGAAGTCAGCCAGCCAGACAGAAGGTCAGAATGAGATGATTTACCGTCTTGCTCCTTTGGGTTGCATAAAAAAACAGCCTAGACAAAAGGTACAAGCAGTCAACAAAACAAAAGACGCCATTGGTATAATGGAATCTGTCCGTAATGTTGTGCTTTATTTTCTTTCTCTATAATAACAAATAGCTTTAGCTATGCAGAAGGTGCAGATAGATGAAGGACATTACCTTACAGGCGTGTTTATATATATATATATATATATATATATGAGTGTGTGTGTGTGTCCAGGGAGATGTGTTTGCGTAATCAGCCCATCTGTCACTCTGACCAACTCTGTGACACATGCATCCATCTCGCTCTTTCTCTCTAGTTGGCCAGAAAAAAGGAAAGTGAAGGGGCAAGTCCACTGGGACGATGGATGCTGCCTGCTCAGGAAAAAGTTACATTTCCAGTTGCACTTAGTGCTTCTGTGACAAGAGGATTCTCCTTTTTATCTAGATACGGGCTTCTATTTCAGCTGTTAAATGTCAGGAAAAAGGAGACCCACTTTTAGACTGATAGTGGATTTCCTCTTTGAGGGTTTTATGTAGTGATACCCGGAGATTCGTTAAACATAGAGGTTCACTGTATCTTGCAGGAGTAGTCATATCTCCAATACCTTTTGGTGTATATATTTCAATGTGTTTTTTTTTTTTTTTTTTTTTTTGTTTTTTGGTTGGTGGGGGTGGGGATTCTACACAATTTGAACCATCTTCTCTGCAGTTATAGTGACATGTCTTTGAGGCTGAAATCTTTACCCATTTTTACTGTAAAATAACCCAAACTCTGGCTTATTCAATAATGGAGTCATTGAATAACAGTTTTGAAATCTAATTTTCAAAATAATTTAGATTGGGACTTCTGCAATTTTGCTGCAACAGTGCTGCACTTTTTAAATGGTAATGTTCATTTCACTGTTGACAGCTGTATGCATAGAAAGTTCGTTTTGTATACACTTTATGTATACAAAATGACAATAAAGTTTCTCTTAGTCTAAGTCTGCTGGGTTAAACTTTACACATGTTAATGCGTAAACAGGATTTCTCACGGCTATCTTTTGACTTTTGTCTTCCCACTCTGCAATAACAAGCACATTCGTGGAGTAAAGTACATGACTAATAGTTAGTCCCACCGATGGATTCTCCCACCTGAGTTGTTTATCTAAGTAGCTCCTCCAAAGTTACCCTAAGGTTTCTTGGCTGCCTTTCAGTCTGTGTACAGGTGATGGATTTTTATATCGCTTAGTGAGATGATTAAAATGTAGTATACAGTTTTGCACCGTAACGCTACTTAAAACAATACAACTCACCTTTGAGCTGTCCTTTAATGTGTGAATACTTCTTCATAGTATGTTCTCTGACACTTTTAGAGACATAAGCCTCATTACCAAGGTTATTATCACTAGCGAAAACAAATGAAAAGATGAAAAACTAGAACTCTTAAGCATTTCTGCTAACTGAAATGGGAAAAAAACTACACCTTGCACAAAAACAACCTGAAATCTAAATGAAATTGTGGTAAGAGTTTACAAAACAAATAAAAAATAACATAATTTTAAGAGAAAAGGTTTCGTGTGTGTCTTTATCATAAAGCTTTAATATGAAGTCTAGTTTCCGGCAGAGGCGTAGCTAGAATATTTTAATAAGGGTGGCCAGGCAGTTACCAATGCACACTCAGGGGTGTCCGAAAGCGGATAGGCGCCAGAACCTCAGAGTCAATCCACACAGTTTCAACAGGAAAATTAATTACATTTTCTAAATAAAGACTAACTATACTTTCCTACAGCCTTTGCTAACAACTAGAAGCATATATTTAAACATCCATTCTGTCTAAATTAAAGGTTTGGTGGACTAAATTCTTTCAGGTTTGAGTTTTGGGGCGAATATCTTATTCATTGTCTTTACTAACATACTTTTATCAATAACCATTCTGCATAGAATTAATATGTAGAAGTACTTATATCTACATTAAATGGATAACTTATTATTAAAGTAGTTATTTCTGATTTCACTGAAGACTCAGAAATGACTTGCAGAGACATAATTTTCTCTTTACCCCATAAGACAAAATCTATTTCTGGAAACAGCATGAATTCTGTATTTATTATCTTTAATGTTAGTATATTGATGAGCATCATTAACTACAGGGGGGTTTTGTTGTCAATTAATTGTTAATATATGAAGAATTAAAATGTTAAATAAGTTAGAACATTCCACTTGACAGTATTACTGCTGCCACCGTCTGACTTAGAGGGGAAAAAATGGTAGGGGTGGCCACAGGGGTGGCCGCTGATTATCTGAGGGTGGCCATGGCCACCCCTGGCCCCCCATCTAGCTCCGCCCCTGGTTTCCGGTTGCAGTTTTAGTGTTTTTTTTCACTTTACCAGCACATGGCAGTTATGGCAGTCAGGTAATATGTGTTGTTGGACCGGCCTGTCCTTATCTGGGATTTTTAAAAATATTTATTACTTATTTTAAGTAATAAAAACTAATAGTGAAACTAATAAAAACTAAGCAGAAACTAAGCATTTTCAAACAATAAAAACTAAACTAGGTAACAGATAATGGGAGAGTGACAGCCTAGTGGTTAGGGCATAGAGCTTGGAATCCTGAGGTTCTGAGTTTGAGCCCCACTCCCACAGTCTGCCACTCTGACTCTCTGAGCAAGACCTTTACCCAACACTGCTTCCCAAGGGGATGGGTTAAATGCAGAAATGCAATACATGTCTCCATTGTGAGATCAATAAAGTTCAATCATTTTTTAAATATTATTTTAATAAATCCTGAAAAACAAATTCTAAACTAAAATAAATTTCAAAATCAGAAGTCAAAACTAAAAAATAAAAACCAAACCTTTGTCGATACGATAAGCATTCTTTGCACTGTTTCTATTAGCTTTCACAAATGGCTCCACCTTGCAAGAACCAATATGCAGTTCCTATTTAGCTTTTGCACATTAACTGACAAAGCATTTAGAACTCTTGTGTAGCTCTCTTTGTAAAGACAGATGGCGCTGTTGTAAAGGATTTGGACCCACCACCATCAGAGCATTGAGCTCATCTCTGCACTATGCTCTCACCCACACACACACCTTCCTGTCCCATCTTTCCCTGCCCGCGTTCCCTCTTCGCTCCAACAGATTGTCCGCCGAGGACTCAGACCCTGCCAAAAGCCATTAATGCTCACATCTCTGTTCAAGACTGATATTTAAGAGCAAGTTCCACCTTCTGCCAGGACGCTGCCTATGAAAAAAACGGTCTCAAGGCTGCAGCAGCATTAATGCTGTGAAGTGAGCTAAAAGGTGATGGAGAGAGGGAGAAAAAGGGCTCTAGCTCTGATGATGCAGTGAAACTTAAGTCTTTTGATCTATGTCCAAACCCTGTTTGCATTGCTCTCCTTTTTCCTCCAGCCGCTGCTGCCGCACCCAAGGCAAAACCATTGTAGTTTTTGTTACAGCCCAAAGAAAAAGTGTCCCTTTGTTGCTGAAGCTATAAGAGATATCTTTTCTGTGGTTTCTGTTCATTATCTTTTTTATTTTTTACCATTAATGGTTGGTATTTTAGCATGTTTCAAGCTCTGACATTAATCGACAATGCTGCACTGAAAGGGGAATGCTCTTCTGCTACACACATACCCCCCTACAGTTCGTGTCGTGCCCTTCTTTCAAGTTGCAGGAACATGTTTGTGTGTGTGCCAAGATAGAATAGAAAGGGTTGGGTTTGTGTCTGTAGCCCCACTGTCTCTCTGACCTGATGTCGTCTTCCCTGTACCCACCCGCCGCTCATTAATATGCTTTAATTTTCTCTGACCTTTTATTTGGACCTGAGCTTGATTTAATTAAACCCAGAAATACATGCACAAGGAAAAAGAGATGAACCATGCGGGCACTGGGGCAGCAAACAACCCCAGATAAGAGATTGTATATCTATTTGGATGACAAGTATTTATTCCGGCTTAGTGATGTAAAAAGGATTCATCAGGGCTGTTATCGCTCAGCTCAAAGAGATTTCCAGCCTGTGTAATCATACACAATGCGAGACAATATTTGCATAGCCACTTCTAGGTCAACGCCAACTACCTGTTCCTTGGCTTATGTCGTAGCAGGGTGGAAAATAAAAAGGTCCGATCTCAGTGACGGCACTGGGAACTGTAATCCAGTCTTGTTACCAAGCCCTCACATCTGGACTATTTGCATTTTAATACAACTGTCAGATTAGTAGGGCACTGTTTGTGTGAAACCACGGGAGTGTGACAGCCTAGGGGGTTTGATGGGGCTTCATGAATGTTCCGTCATGCCGCACGATCCCATTCTGCTGCCTTACGGCACCATTACCAGCCAAAATCAGCCCCTAATTAGGTGTTGTTATTTAATTAAGATGGCCCCGTGCATGGTGCATACATTAATCAAGGATAATTTGGATAAAAGCGGGACGTAAAGTGTGTGAAGGTGGAGGGAGGGGAGCTGGGAATTTTGAGTGGATCTAATGAGGAGTTGGGAGTAGGGCATTGATGCTTGAAGTATTGCTCTGTTAAAACTTTTA